GACCCTTTCACAGGGGTCGCCTAAGACCATCGGAAAACACATATATAATTACATATTGTTTTTGTGATTAATCGCTATGCTTTAATTATGTTCAATTTGTAACAATGAAATTGGGGGTCACCACAACATGAGGAACTGTATTAAAGGGTCGCGGCATTAGGAAGGTTGAGAACCACTGCTTTAGAGTCTGTTTTCTTTTCTGTCCTTTACTCACAACTGTCCTCCAGGAAACAAGCCAAGGCAGATACCACGTTTAGGTAAAAGTGGTCAGGAACTCCTGGATGGTGACTGTGATGACTCATTACACTAGCAGTCCTGTGCACTGAGTCAGCGCTCCAGGAGTGGGAAAAAAATGTCAGCAAACCACTGCAGTCAGTTGTTGATATCCTGGATCCTCAATGTGATCACTAAAAATATACTTATATGTACACAAACACACTATCCATACATAAACACTCTCCTTGGCATTTTATGTAGTGTGATTGAAATATTAATAGAAGATAAGTCTTTTATAATTATAAAGCATGCAAAACTTAAAAATAAATTTCCTTTTCCTAAAAAGCTGACATTCTGGACAACAGTACTAGCAGGCATGACCCTGCCTCTATAGGCAAACAGTCAAATTTTAAAAATGAATGTTCGCCCTAGCCTGTTTGGCTCAGTGGATAGAGCGTCGGCCTGCGGACTGAAGGGTCCGGGTTTGATTCCAGCCAAGGGCACATGCCCGGGTTGCGCGCTCGATCCCCAGTAGAGGGTATGCAGGAAGCAGCCAATCGATAATTCTCTCTTATCATTGATGTTTCTATCTCTCTCCCTCTCCCTTCCTCTCTGAAGTAAATAAATAAATAAATGTGAATGTTCACTGTTGTTTATTTAAGTTAGCAGATAAACCTGGAATCTTCCTTACATACAGGTGATATAAACTCAATATCTAGTGTTCATTATCCCTGACAACCACATTATGAAATCTCATTCCAGGCTACTGTCAAGATTTAAGCAGTGAAATCTCTTCTTTGGTCTTTCTAAGATAGAGAATCACCATAAGTGATATCTAAATTCTAAAGGTGACATGCTTACCTGTTTGGTAATATCATACACTATGACAGCTGCAGCAGATCCACGATAGTACATGGGAGCCAAGGAATGGAACTGTTTAGGAACAATAAATAGTTTTAGGCCAAAGTGAATGCATTTTATGCAACCCCAAATTAAATGTAAAACTTTACCCTACAGCACCCCTAGAAGATCCCTGAATCCCCCCTAGAATTTTCCCAGGGTTCATATCAGATATAAATATTTCTCCTTGACTACACATATACGCTTATGGTTTACAGACCATGAAATTCACTCTTGGGCAAAGGCCAAAAATAAATTTTCTTTTAAATATTAATATCCTATGAATTGTCTTTTCTCTGCTGCTCATCACTTATTTGATATGGCTGACCCAGGGCAATCTTATTAGAATTACACAGCAGTAAGTAAAAGATGTTTCCCAAGAAGAGGAAGAGAGGAGACTGCACAGATCACAAGACCCTCACTGAGCCATTAATGAGGAACACTGCAGCAAGGGCACCTCAGCAACCGCCCTCGGGTCTTGGATGGTTGCATCCCTCCACCACATGACAAATGGTGAGAGCAATGAGCTCCATTCCAGATGGAACAAAGCAAGTCTCATCGGTCACTGGAATCATTTATCCCTAAGCAGGATACATATAGATTTTATGTATAGTTGAAGAATGTATCTTTGAATATATTTTGGAGTGGTTTTGAAAGTCAATAAGAAAAAGATAATTCAGCTCAACAACAACAAAAAAAAATGGACAAAGGCGATAGATAGGTCACAGAAGAAGAGATATAAATTGCCAATGAATATTTTAAACCATGTCCAATTATACTAAAATAAAATAAAAGCAATAATGAGGCATTCATTTATTAAATATTCAAAAGATTTATCATCCAGTCAGTATGGAATTGGTAAGGGAGGCACTGAACTACATGGGAATGTATTTTAAGACTTTCTTATAAAAAAGATGCTCAATATCATTGAACATCAGGGAAATGCAATTCAAAACCACAATGAGATATCACCTCACATCTATTAGGATGGCTATTAAACAAAAACCCTAAAAGCTAACAAGTGTTAGTGAGGATGTGGAGAAAAGGGAACCCTTATAAATTGTTAGTGGGAATGTAAATTGGTACAGCCATTATGGAAAACAGTATGAAGGTTCCTCAAAAAATTACAAATAGAATTACCATAGATCCCTTTGGGGTATATACATAATCAAGAGAAATGAAATCAGTGCCTCAAAGAGATATCTGCACTCCCATCTTCACTGCAGTATTAATCACAATGGATAAGACATGGAAACAACCTAAGTGTTCATCAATGAATGACTGGATAAGAAAATGTGAGATATATGTATATATATGTACATATATACATGTTTGTGTGTGTGTGTATATATATACACACATATATACATATATATATCTTTGTGTGTATACATATATTTATATGTATATATAATGGAATATTATCCAGCCTTATAAAAGAAAGAGTGCCTGCCATTTTCAACAATATGGATGAGCCTGGAGTACATCATGCTACATGAAATAAGCTAGACACCGAAAGAAAAAAACTGCATGATCTCACTTATATATGAAATCTAAAAAAGTTAAATATATAGAAGCGGAGAGTAGAACAGTGGCTACAAGGAGTTTAGGGTGGCTGGGAGGATGGAAGATGTTGGTCAAAGGAACAAAGTTGTCATTATGTTAGATGAATAAGTTCTAGAGCTGTAATGTACAGCATGATGACTATCCTCTATAATAAAAGGCTAATACGCAAATTGACCGAATGGCGGAACGAACAGTCGCTATGATACACACTGACCACCAGGGGGCAGATGCTCAATGCAGGAGCTGCCTCCTGGTGGTCAGTGCGCTCCCACAGGGGGAACACCGCTCAGCCAGACAGGCTCATGTCCCACAGGGGGAACACCGCTCAGCCAGAAGCCAGGCTCATGGCTGGCCAGTGCAGCGGTGGTAGCGGTAGCCTCACCTGCCTCTGCGGCAGTGCTAAGGATGTCTGACTGCCAACTTAGGCCCACTCTCCATGGGGAGTAGGCCTAAGCCGTCAGTCGGACATCCCCCAAGGGCTCCCAGACTGCGAGAGGGTGTAGGCCAGGCTGAGCCTCCCCCCCACACCGAGTGCATGAATTTCGTGCACCGAGCCTCTAGTGGTTAATAATAGTATGTTAAATTTGGAAATTTGCCAAAAAGCTAGATTTCAGATGCTTTCACAAGTAAAAAAGATAAGAAGATATGTTAATTACACTGACAATAGTAATCATTTTACTATGTATACATACATCAAATCATCATGTTGTATACCTAAAATATATATGAATTTTATTTTTTAAAAAGAAACACCTTCTTTCAAAGCCACTGTTGATAATATATATCAAAAGTTTAAATGTGCATACTGGTTAAACAAGTATTTCCACTTGTAGGAACATATACTAGAGTTATCTTCATACACACAAAGATACAATCTTGGTTACACATGGGAGCAAATATTATGAAACCAACCTAGATTAATCATAGAGAATGCACCAATGGTATATGTATGTAAGGGAATATTCCATAACAATTGAAATGATGAGGAGGATTTTTATTTCTGGGAAAAGGTATCTCTGACATACTGTTAAATGAAAAAACAATCTTAAAGCAGCATATGCCGCATAATATAATTTAAGTAAAATGTGTGTAGGTGTCTGTGTGTACAGGTATGAAATGCTTCTCAAAATGTTAACAGTGGGATTTCTTAGTGATTTGTACATTTTCCTTACAAGAGTCTGAATAGTATACATTTTTAACAACAATGATTTTTAAATAAAATGGTTTTTAACTTTTTAAAAAAGTAGCCATTTTTATTGGGGAGTAGGAGAGGGCACAGGGAGGGAAGGAAGTAAGAACGGATCCTGAAGCTTTTCCAGCAAACAACAAAAGTATTACTCATTCATTTTTATTTTTCACTCAATACTTATCCTAGAATAAGTACTTGCCCACATCAGTCCCGCAGGCTTCCTTTTCATTGTTCCCCTTTTATTGCTGGTGCGGCGCTCACAGAGTGGACAGAAGCAGGCAACTCCTGCCCAACTCCACGCCCTCATGCACGGCACCACCTTAAAAAGAAGCTGGTGCCTCTGTGGCTGTGGGCCGGATGGAGCTCAGGATGAACTCAGGAGTTCCCAGCTGAAGGGCCTGGGCCTCTTGCCAGGACTCACCAGAGGACAGCACGCCATTTCCACGTGTGCCTTTCCATAGTCAATGACTGCCCAACACTGTGTTTGTTGTAATATTAGGCATCAATAAAACTATTTTAATCCATCCTTTGGCAATTCACTCCACATGTAGAAAACAAAATAAAAATTTCTGCCCAAACGAAGAAAAATACCACAATGTATTTTTGAAACAGTCCTGCTTTGCTAAGGGTAGGGAATGCATATAAAAGTGTCCTTGTAGCGCGATCATATAAAATGTTCATTTTTTTTCAAAGTAGCCTCCATATAAGACCGGTCCATTTAAACACACCAAATAGGAGAATCAGTACAAAATGTGTATCTCAAAAATCAAGGTACATGTGCACGCAAGCACAGAGAGGGACAAACCGTGGCTATCTTCTAAGACAGAGTTCATTTTCAGCTGTAAGACCATGAACTGAATCTAAAATGGTCACTGGTGTGCTGGTCTCATGAATTATTGAATAGGTCTTTGTATATAATGCATTACTTGTTCTTTCCTTCCTCCAAATGGAATCATTTTGAAATAAATCTGTTGGTGAAGCCCACTTACACGACTTTATTGCCGGGGACTTGGGAGTTTTAATGACTTCAAGTTCGCATCTCAGTTCTAAAACCCAATAACGCATTGACCAAAGGATAATACTTGTGGAGGACAATAGGATAAATCACTTCCAGCCTACAACATACATACTTTTCCTCATACGAATATAAAACAAAAGCACCACAATCAGCCTCAATACTCAACGTGACATGATTCAATTTCCACGGGGTCAGAAGACTGACAAAGCACTCCCATAAAAGATTTCTTCTAGAAACAAGTTCACAATCAGGGGAAGTTGACAAAATTTTTTTAAATCTCACCTTGAAAGGTTATTTGAAAATTAGCAAAACAGATCCCAATTCAAAATGCTTTCTTCCCTATCAAACAGAGTATCTGTAATACCAAATTAAAGTGTTCAGATAACTCTTAGAACTCTTAGAAGAAACACAGGAAATTGTGAAAAGCCAATTTGTCCCCTCAAAAGAAATGGCTGTTTGTGTCCTTAGTATGTGTGAATGCTTGTTCTTTAAAAAATATATTTTTATTCATTTTAGAGAGAGAGAAAAGGGGGGAGGCAGAGAGAAACATGGATGTGAGAAACATCAATTGGTTGTCTCTCGCACACACCCTGACCTAGGATGGAACCTGCAACCTGGGTATGTGCCCTGACCAGGAACTGAACCAGTGACCTTTCGGTGCATGTGATGATGCTCAACCAATTGAGCCACACCAGCCAGGGGAAATGCTTGTTTTTTCATTGTTGACTGTCTACAGCAGGGGTGGAGAATGGCCTGAGAAATCATTTGGTCTGGCCCTGCCAAGGCATTACGGGTGAGTTAATTAAATGTTCAATCAAATACAGCAGGCTAATTTTTAAGTTGATTATTTTGTATGGCCCGAGAATGATGTTATAAATATCCAAATGGCCCTTGGCAGAAAAAAAGGTTCTCCATCCCTGGTCCACAGGATAAGAGAGAAGGGAATGGCCTTCGAGCTCCCTAGGTCCTCAGCTTTGACAGATGGATGCTAATAACCCTGTCCCCGCTTTCATCAACTGGTAGAAGCAACTGGCCAGTGTATTTTGAGAGCATTGAAAATGTTCATACGCTTTGATTCAACAATTCCACTACTGAAGGGAATAATCAGAGATGATCACAAAGTAACCAGAATTCATTCTAGAATGATCAATAATGCTGAAAAATTGGAACTACCCTCAATGCCTAACCATCAGGAACTGAAAACATAAATTTGGCTTAGCAATATAACGGACTATTAGGAAGAGCAATTAAACTCAGGTT